AATTACTGGGTGAAGTAAATGGTGCTTGAGTTACCCTGTTACAGACCTTGAAATAGTTTCCGGCATGGAGCTTATAAATAACATCAGAAGTCCTGCTGTTTTACCTCCTGAATCACTGCTCTTGAAAGCTTTTAAAATTCAAGATTTAAGCAAAATGGCAAAAGGGAGAGCACTTGTTCAGCTGCCTCGGTGCCTAATTAAATGAGGGCTGCCAACGGGAAAGGAAAGGGGAGAAAAGATGCAGTGCATCCAATTTCCTGTTCTGCTTAATTCATCTGAGTATTAATTCTTATTGATACAGTAAATAGGCTAAATTACAGCTCAGGATTATCGGTTATTTTCGCAGCACATTAACCTTTCACTCTTTGCCGCAGAGCAATTGTGGCAGCTAGAGATGGAAACTAGGCGTGCATTAAAACAGTGTGAAATCAGGTCTCGGAAAAGGAAAGAGGTTCCACTTGGCAGCACAAAAGCTGACAAGAATCTAAAATAACCTATCCTAAAGGGCTCCCAAGTTAACTAGAACAGATACAGACTTTGCTAGGGAGGAGGGGAGACCACACTCCGGTGACTGCGTTTCCCTACCTTCCCATCACCCACTCAGATGATTCCAGGCATCGCACAAGACACTCTTCTACTTTTAAAGCACAGTGTTTGGCCAACAGGCAAAGAACTGAGATACTGCACATAGATCTTGCAATGTTTCTCAACCTTTCTAATGCCGTGACCCCTTAATACGGTTTATTTATTTATTTATTTCAAATATTTGTACCCCGCCTTTCTCAACCCCCCAGGGGGGAGGGGGGACTCCGCGCAGCTTCGAGCCGGCATGATTCAATGCCTCCATGTGTACATAATAAAATACATAACAAAATCTATAATTGCATACAGTTAAAACATTAAATCAATTCAATTAAAATATACTTAAATATAACAGCCTTATCAATTCAGTTAAAATATGCTTAAATATAACAGCCATAAGGCTGTTATATTTCAACATCTGTGATTGGAGACTCCATCAAGCTTGTCCATAGTCCATTACCATAGCAAGTGTCATCATTGTCACTGTCCTTGTCAGCATAGTTACCCGAAGGTCTGGTCCCACATCCACATTTTTGACTTCTTTCTAAAGGAGAGGAGGGATGAAGATGACCTAATTTCCCCGGGGAGCGAATTCCACAGGCGGGGGCACCACTGAGAAGGCCGTGTCCCCCCATTCCCACCAAGCATGTTTGTGACAGAGGCGGGGCCGAGAGCAGGGCCTCCCTAGAAGATCTTAAACTTCTAGGTGGAAGGTAAAGAAGATACATTTGGGCAGGTACACAGGACCAGAACCTTATAGGGTTTTATAGGTCAAGACCAGCACTTTGAATTGTGCTTGGAACTGGACTGGCAGACAGTGGAGCTGACATAGCAGGGGGGTGGTATGCTCCTTGTATGACACTCCAGTAAGCAGTCTACCTGCTGCCCGTTGGACTAGTTGGAGTTTCCAAACAGTCTTCAAAGGCAACCCCCATTGAGCGTGTTGCAGTAATCTATTCGGGCTGTAACAAGAACGTGGACCACTGTGGCCAAATCAGACTTCCCAAGGTACAGGTGCAGCTGGCGCACAAGTTTTACTTATTCAAAAGCTCTCCCAACCACCGCCGAGACCTGGGGTTCCAGGCTCAGAGATGAGTCCAGGATCACTCCCAAGCTGCAAACCTGCATCTTCAGGGGGAGTGTAACCCCCATCTAACACAGGCTGTAACCCTATGCCCTGTTTGGCCTTATGACTGACAGTTCCTCACGTTGTGGTGACCCCCAACCATAAAATTATTTTCATTGCTATTTCATAACTGTAATTTTGCTACTGTTATAAATTGTCATGTAAATATCTGATATGCAGGATGTGTTTTCATTCACTGGACCAAATTTGGCACAAATACGCAATACACTCAAATTTGAATACTGGTGGGGTTTGGGGAGGATTGATTTTGTCATTTGGGTGCTGGATGTATAGTTCACCTACAATCAAAGAGAGCATCCTGGTTTCCACCAATGATGGAATTGAACCAAACATGGCACACAGAAATCCCATGACCAACAGAAAATACTGGAAGGATTTGATGGGCATTGATCTTGAGTTTTGGAGATGTAGTTCACCTACATCCAGAGAGCACTGTGGACTCAAACAATGATGGAGCTTGACCAAACTTGGGATGAATACTCAATATGCCCAAATGTGAATACTGGTGGAGTTTGGGGAAAATAGACCTTGATATCTGTTGTAGTTGTAGTTGCTGGGATTTATAGTTCACCTACCATCAAAGAGTATTTTGTACCCCACCAATGATAAAATTGGGCTAGACTTCCCACAGAGAAAATGATCAACAGAAAATACTGTGTTTCCTGATGGTCTTTGGCAGCCCTTCTGGCACCCCCTGATGACCCTCCCAGGGGTCCCAACCCCCAGGTGAGAAATTTTCTTATATTGCCATTAAGATCATCAGATTTCTTTTTACTTTAAATCCCCCAGAAAATGCAGCCCCTCAAAAGTCATGTCACAGGTCACGGAAGCATGGATTTTATTGTTCATTCTGGCTCCAGTAGACCCATTGGAGCAATTGCATTTGCCAGTGTGTCAAAAATTGATGGAATAAGTCTACTCAATGTGTTTACAGTTTCTTAGCGCTTCTGGATCCATCACTCCAAATGACAGCTTAGAAAAATGTGAAACCTTTTCTCAGCTTTGACTGTTATGGCAGCTGTGCCCCTTCCTAGAGCTAAGGAATCTAAAGATGTGCTCAAATTGGTAACTTCAAGCTGAACTTCTACAATGGGCTATACATTGGTCTTCATTGGTACCAAGTTCAGAAATTCCAATTAGTTCAAAACATGGCAATCAGTTTGGTTACTGGTACATCTAGGAAAGATCGTACTACACCAATATTATCAATATCACCCCACTGGCTAATTCGTTTCCTGGCAAAGTGCAAAGTGTTGGCCATTATCTTAAAAGCCCTACATGCTTTGGGTACAGTTTACTTACGGGATCACCTCCTCCCATATAATCTTCTCCATATACTCAGGATCTCTGGGGGGCATTTACTCCAGTCAGCCAGGACTAAGTTTTACTATCCTGTGGGAGGCTTCTCTCATGTCCCCGCATGGGAAGCTGGAGCTGACAGACAGGATTCGAACCGCTAACCTTTTGCTCAGCCGTCTTGCCAACACAAGGGTTTAACCCATTGCACCATCGGGGCTCCTATTATGGATTTTAAATTATGTACTGATTATTTTAACTGGTTTATGTGTTATGTGTTTTTGACTGATGGTTCATGTTATATTTTAATATGTTGCTGTTCCCTACCTTGATCCATATAGAATGGCAAGTAAGAAATATTTTTAATTTTATTATTATTATTATTATTATTATTATTATTATTATTATTATTATTATTCTGCTTGAGACTAACCAAGAAGATTCCAGCCACACACACACATACTTTATGTGTTTTGAATTTAAAGACAATTGAAATTTATTTGTTCTTCTGTGACTTTCTTCTGTCAATCTATGCAGCGAAGATGTGGTAAAGTGCCAAGGATAGTGGATAGGACTGTACCATTGCAGGTGGAAAGAAGAAAAATAGAAAACATAGCATGAATCAATGGTGGGTAGAGCTAAATGGTACTTATAAACTTCACCCCTCGAGGTGTTTTGGACTTCAATTCCCAGAGATTTCCAGTCAGCTTACTGGCTGTTAAGAATTGTGAGAGTTGAAGTCCAAAACACCTGGAGGGCCGAAGTTTGCCCGTGCCTGTTATATACTGTTATCCTTCGTACCAGACCCTAAATTGGTTATATGGATAGGCAGACCTTCATTTGCTTTGTTTCCTTCTAGTGCTGCATGTCTCCTGTATAAATATAACTGTTTACACATACAACTGGAAGTTTCATAGTCACCAGCTTAATGCCTGGAATAAATACCAGTCAATTGTGGCTTGCCATCTGGCTGCCAGGTTAAGAGGTCATCGCCTCTCTGTTTTCCTAGAAGGAGATGATAAAATTGGGCTTTGTTGTTCATAACTATAACTTTCATTTCTGGCTTTAGGTTTTTTGATGCAAGCTTTTAGGTAACTATTGGGAAAGATACTACTTCACCACAAAGACAGAGCTCAGTCATCATAGTTATATCTGAGGATGCCATCCTCCTAGCCTTCCTTTGCAATCTGACAGCACTCCGACAGAAGCATCTCTGAAGTACAGTGGTTTCCTGTTCATAGGATGCTTTGAGTGCCCATAATTGTTTCCTATTCATGTTCACTCCTTTATCACAAATTTGACACTGTTGTTATGATCGTCACTCACCTCCCAACCTACTTTACCAGACATTGTCTATATGGGGTGCAGAAGGAGTATTTTGCTGGCAATTAAAGCACAGTTGAATGATGTTTCCATCAGGTTTGGAGGGTCAGGCTAAAAGAAGTTGCTTAGTTAACTATAAGCTTATATAGGCTTCTAGCTGCAATTATTTATTGACCTTGACCCTTTCTCCTTGCATTCATGCATAATGTTGAGTATTTTGCGTCTGTTTGGAATGCATCTTTTGCTTTAAAAGATGCTTTAGGGGCTCTTCAAATTCTGTTTAAATCCCTTCATGGTAATACCTTACTGAAGTTGATAACCTCTTTTATATAAAGAGATATTCTTACCTAGAAAACTATTAAGTTCCCCTAAGGCAGCTGAAAACTTGCAACCTTTGACCACAGGTTCCTCAATGAGATGCACCAAAGTATTTGAGTGGAATCCAATTAACCAAAGAGGATTCCCAGATATTCTTTTTTCTCTGGTCCCCAGAGAGAGGAATCTCAGGATGAAAATACTGCCTTGAAAAGTGTGTGGGTACACATTATGCTTTCTTACAGTTGTTTGTTTTGCATGCAAGTGGTTGGAGTACTTTTGGCTGATAAAATCCCCATAATAACAAGACAACCACCTTTCCTCCCTTTCTCCCCAGGTGCCAGCTTGAATGATGACATTACTAAATACTTCTGGTTCCATCATTCCCAAGGAGACACCATGACAGTTCAGAATCCGATGGAAATGAATCTCTGCGCTGCTGTATGGACCGTTGTGTCCTATGTCATTGCAGACATGGAGGAGAAGCTGCCAGTCTGATTTTGAAAAAACAAAATAAAGGAAAAGAATTGATTTTTTTTAGTCTCAAACTAGGGCTGTGTCTGACTTAACCAATGTGGCAGAACCCTGCATTTTCTGAATTCTAGGCATGTCCTTTTTATTATGAAGACCAACTTGTTGATTAAATACCTTCCACTTGAAGAGTTTATATTCTTCTAATTATATTCAATTTAAGGTGGTGTTCTGTCTGTATTTTCCAGTTAAGAGCTAATGGCCAATAAATGAACTTGCTTATCTGCTAAATACATTAGATTGTTGCATTATCCTATCTTAATCATGGTTTACTCCTTTCAAAAGGGAGGAGGAGGAGGAATGAAGGAGAACACACAGGCTAGGGGAATAATCTATCTATCTATATAAATGCTCTGTTCGTTTTGAGTGACATTATAACTCAAAAACCGCTCGACTAATTGCCATAAACTAACCCAAGGCATGACCATCACTAAAAAAATGATTTTGTTATTTGGGAGTTGTAGTTGCTGGTATTTATAGTTAACCTACAATGAAAGAGTATTCTGAACTCCACCAATGATGGAATTTAACCAAACTTGGCACACAGAACCCCCATGATCAAAGGAAAACACTAGAGTGGTTTGGTGGGCATTAACCTTGAGTTTTGGAGTTGCAGTTCACCAACATCCAGGGAGCACTGTGGACTCAAACAATGAAGGATCCTAGACCAAATTTGGCACAAATACTCTGTTTGCCCAAATATGAACACAGATGAAGTTTGGGGGAAATAGACCTTGACATTTGGGAGTTGTAGTTACTGGGATTTATAGTTATACAATCAAAGAGCATTCTGAACCCCACCAATGATAGAATTGGGCCAAACTTGCAACACAGAACCCCCGTGACCAACAGAAAATACCGTGTTTTCTACTGGCCTTTGGCAACCCTTCTGACAACCCGTCATGACACCCCCCTCCCCCCGGGTCCCAACCGTCCTTAAGGCCATCCAGTCCAACTCCCTCAGGGCAAGAAAACAATCAAAGCCCTCTTGACAAAGAACCATCCAGCCATAGATATAGCTAGATATGATTAACATACAAACATAAATATGTATATGATAGATATAATATCATAGTTTTGAAAGGGACCCCTAAAGAAGGACAATTATATGTTGCATGTTCCAGAGTAGGCAAATCAGACAATCTCCACATCAACACTGACACAGAAACAACAAGAAATGCTGTTTACCCACAAGCATAAAGAAATTACATATATTAGAAACCAACACTTTATTTTCCAGATCACCAGAAAGGGTCACAGCAATGCGTGGCAGGGGATGGCTAGTAATATTATAATATACTTTATTTATATTCCGCCCTATCACCCCAAGGGGACTCAGGGCAAATTATAGTACACATATATGGCAAACATTAAATGCCATTATCCCATTAACAAAGACAGACAGTACATGAACTATGTAAAGGCTTTCCATCCTTTTTCCATCTCCGGCATCTGGAGGCTGTGTTCAAGCAAGGGGGGGGGGGTGCTGTCACTCCATCTTACATGCCAAGGAGCTATGTTGTCTTTAGACGCTCTCCTGAGAGAATTGCCAGCATGTCCGCATGGTTGCCTTTTATTACTTCCTCACCAAAGCAGTAGCTATTTCTCTACTTCATTACTGTTTTCGAAAGGCTAGGTGAGCAAAACCTGGGCTAATGTTGGGAGCTCACCCCAACCCAGGCTTGAACTGTCAACCTTTCGATCAGCAAGATTTTCTGCAGCTGTTAGTTTAACCCGCTGTGCTATAGCCCGGCCCTGAGAGGTTTGCTTTTGCCTAATCCTACTGGAAAGGGCAAGATTCAACCCTCTTCTCTGAGGTAACTGAGACTATTTTTCTCTTTTATCTCAGTATATAGCCTTATAGATTTGGCCCATCGGTTAGCTCCTTTAAAGTTCAGACCACAATCTGGAGTGGTTTCATCCTCTCACCATCTTATACCAATCCTAGTAGACTGCCTATTCTTGACACATAGCCATATAATTTATCATTCTCTCTGTGAATATGGAAGAAAATAAATACAAGTATTTAAATTTCAGAGCTCTTGGATATTAAGCATTACTGATTCAAATTACATCATGGTAAGACTGAGCTATGGTCTAAGCTGAGAGTTGAAACCCATGAGTCTCATCAAGCTCGAGTGTTACAGGCACCTCTACTTCAGAAAACAAAATCTCTTACCATCTTGTATCTATTTATCCTTCATTCATAAAGATCTAAAAGGCTTCCATTCACTGCCAGCGAATATCAAAGTGATCTCAACATCTATATCCATCTCATGAAATATACATCTCCTCCAACCGTACCCAAATGATTAATTTTCTGCTCTTTATTGATTAGCATAATAAAAAATCTCACGACAACGCAAGATAGAAATGTAACCATTAATTGCTGGTTGAAGTGCATGGTATTATTTGCATAGAGATTTATCAAGCACACATCTCAATTCTTCCTGACACACTGGAGGCATTGAAGACATTTCTTGAATTAGAAGAGGTCCCTACTGTGTGTTCATTTCCCACTCTAGCCTAGGAGAAGGAAAATATAAACTATTGAATGCAACCATGGTTTTGTAACTACAAATTATAGCTGTATCTCTGTTAATGGAGTAGGTTTGTCCCTGGGCATGTTGGCTGAGATCGTACATCACAGCACCCTTCCACACAAGCATATAACCCAGAATATCAAGGCAGGCAATCCACAATATCTGTTTTGAGCTGGATTATCTGAGTCCACACTGCCATATAATCCAGTTCAATGTGGATTTTATACAGCTGTGTGAAAGAGGCCACAGATTTAGGATCCATCTGCATTAAAGAAACAATGCAGTTGAACAACAGTTCAACTGCCACATTCAGCAAAGGACAAGAGGGATCCAGAGGAGGGTGACTAAAATGATCAAGGGTCTGGAGAACAAGCCCTATGAGGAGCGGCTTAAAGAGCTGGGCATGTTCTGTGATATGGTCTGTGCTGTGTGTTGCATGGGAAAGCCCAGAAAAGGATTATTATTATTAGAATCTGCAGTTTCCAAGACCATCTCATGGAGACGTGGCATTTAAAATAACGTCCAACTGTATTCAGTCCACAGTATAGATGCACCCAGGGAAAGGTATGGACCTTGGGAAACTATAACTCCCAGGACTGCACAGCATGGAGACATGGCATAATAATAATTGCCATGTCTCCATGCTGTGCAGTTCTGGGAGTTATAGTTTCCCAAGGTCCATACCCATCTCTGGGTGCATCTACACTGTGGACTGAATGCAGTTGGACCTTACTTTAAATGCTATGACTCCATGAGGTAGCCTTAAAAATTGCAGTTTCCCAAGGTCCATGAACCTTCTCTGGGTGCATCTAGGCTGTGAAATCAATGCAGCTGTACCTTACTTTAAATACCATAGCTCCATACTATGCAGTCCTGGGAGTTATAGTTTTTCAAGGCCCACATCCTTCTCTGTGGGGTAGCTGAGGGGGGAGGGGGAGGGGGAGAGAGTGCATTGCTGCTTTCCCGCCCTCCCTGCTTCCTTGTTTCTGGAATTGGACATGTAACAGCTGACATTTCAAATAGAGGTTTTTTCCCCCACAAAGAACATGGGGGAGGGATGGTGAGTGGTGGCTAGAGATTACAGTGTGATGGCAAATCTACTGAAACAATGTTGAGTACAACTGAGTAACACAGATACATTTAACAGTGTAATGAATGCAGGAAAATAATCCGTTTCATTTCAAAACTGAGTCAGATTGAACTCTACCCTACCAAACACTTCCCTGCTTCAGTGTGATGAAGTAGCACCTTTCTCTTCCATTTTTTCAACATAGTGCTACTTTGCTTGAAGTAGCCATCAGGAAATTCTTGCCCATTTTTAAAAATTTTATCCCATATTTGTTTTTTAATCCCAAATTCCTCCAACTCAGATAAAAGAAATTTACCAATGTTGGTAAAATTTTAAAAGACAAATAGAAACAAAGACCTGTTAGGTGAGAGAAATGGATCTATGTATCCATGGCAGTTATTTACATTGGCAGCTGCATGATCAACATCACATCTAATTGGAGGCAGATGCGTTTAAGGTGGGAGCAAATCATTCCAAAAATGCTTTTACTAGAATGTTTCCATTCACATGTGTAAGACTTTGCCAGAACTTGAAAACTGTCATAAAACGCCCATCAAATAATTATATGGCATTATTACCCCACTGGAATACCTTTTGAATTTAGAAGTGTTGTTGAGATGCAATGTACAGTGTTGTCCCTCTTAAAATCAAATGCTTTTCATATTCTGTATCAGGGTTTCCATCCAGAAAAGGCAGAGACAGTAGTGGGTTTTACTGAAGCCCTTCACGTTGCCTTCAAAGAGTAAAAGGCGTGCAAACATTTATTTTATGTTCTGTATTAGGTGTAGATGAATGTTTTCTTCATCTGTGCCATTAGTCTTTCAGCTGTCATTCTAATGCTTCCAAATCTGTTTAAGGCAATGGATTAAATAAGATATCAGCAGCTGGCAAAGTCTGCAAAGGGAGCTTCAAATACTGAGCAACGTGTTCACCCTGAGCACTGCTTATTGACATACAGAGAAGAATCATTTCCATACAAAAGGAAAAAAAAAGTTTCACATTCATTTGGATTCTCCACAGGAGAAAATAAGACTTTTCAACGTGTTTTCTTCAGGTGAATGCTGATAACTTGTTTAGCCAGAGACCGGGAAGGTATTTGTATGAAATAGGGGTGAAAAGAATATTCAAAAATATTTTGAAAATGGTAGTAAAACCTTTTCCAAGTTTTGAGAAATGCTGATAAGAAGAATCCCGGACTAGGAAAAATCTTCATAGTTCAGGGCTTGTTCTGTGCAAAATTCACACATGGTAGCTTTGTGCAGAAAACATCATTTTCTATGTAAGGCACAACCTTTTCAGTGGGGAACATTATATTTCAACAGAGAAATATATACTCCTGCACAGAAAACACATTTTTCCATAGAAAGTTCTTTAATTGGGGATTTATTCTGTGCATAGTTCACACATAATTGGTTTGCAGAGAAAATAGTTCTTTAATTAGTTCTTTAATTAGGAATTTATTCTGTGCATAGTTCACACATGGTTGATTTGCATAGAAAATAGTATTTTCTACATCGAAAATAGCATTTTCTGCACATTTCTGATATTTCTGCATTGAAATGTTATCTACTATTCAAAACTTAAATCCCATGCCAAAAAAGTCATTTTATTTGAAAAAC